TGTGAAGGGAATGAATCCTAAGCTTCAGGGAACCTCACTTCCATAGGCTCTTTCTGAGGCCATGTGTTTGGTTTCAATTTAAAATTTTGGATTCTTTTCCTTAAAGAGCGATCCCCAAACTGTATAAGCTTCAGGACCAATAAAACCTGGATGTGCTGCTAAAACACTCAAAAATGTTTATGAAATTAGTAAAAAAAAAAAAAAAAAGTTCCCAATATATTGTACTTTCTCCTGTTTTTAGTGGGCATAAACCATTCCTTGGTTTATTCACTAAATTCTTCATAATAATGTAATCTCTTCTCTCTTGAAACCAACCAAAAACAGCTTCGTCATCCTTTTCAAAACTCCCCAACTTCTCAGGACCCACCATCTAACTGTGTTTTGCTCTCCCCACACAGATATGGTGTGTTTCATTGTTTTTCCCCTCCTGGAGAAACCTGCCTCCCTGTATTTCTTTTCACAAGAGACCACCTCAGTTGGAGGTGTTCATCTCTGGGTCCCACTATGGTTTCTTATACCACCAATTCAAAAAAATTTAACATGTTCACTCTAAATTAATAATCCATTTTTTTAAATTCCAAATCAAAATTTATGATTCTCTATAACTAATGTAGAAAGAACATAAAATGAAAGGTGGACCTTAGATCAGAGTTGAATCAAGGATGTGACTTGGGTCAAAGCCACTTACTTATAAAGGACCCATTATTAGAATTATACCAAAATTGGGTCTGGATAACAAGCAAATGTTCCCTTATAGTTGGGATTTCCATCTGCACTTTACCCCTCTACTTGGCAGTCAGACAGCCCCAGGAATGTAAATTCGTGCTGTTGTGAATGTGGGGGAAGGTGAGGGAACTAAGCCTGCCTGCTGCTATTCTGATTACAGCATTTGTCGCTGGGAGAGACAGCTCTGGGATTGATGCTATTTTTTCTCCTATCTCAGGAAAATGGCTTGGACTGCATATCAGCGAAGGCCAAGGGGCACTTGCAAATGACAATTTCTGCTTAATCCACCAGCAGGTTTCCAAGTCTGTAGTCCTTCAAACTTGACATTGCATTTGACCCATTTATTCCCTTTCTTCTTCCCTCCTCCCACCTCCTGCAAGTACTATGGCATAGAAACAGGGCAGTGAAATTTTTTTTTTTCTTTTAATCTGTTGAAATTGTCTCTAGGCAGAAGAAAGAGGGAGTAGATACCAGATGGTTGTAGCTAGAGTAGAAACCTACTACTGAGAAGCTATGAAATGCTCAAATCTGGTGGCAGTCACTATTTTCCTGCAGGAAAGGGGGATGACATAAAAGAGGAGTGGGAACTGATTTCCAGTAGTACCTCCAGTTTCCCGTTCTCTCCATCCTCTGTCGATGTACACATGGAACACAGCCCCTTTTCTTCATGCTCTAAAGCACACCAATCATGGGGTATAACAGGATTTTCTTGAAGGTTTGGGATGGTGACCAGTCAGTGGTAATAAGGGGTTTGTATCATAGGACTTCACACAATTTTTAAATGAACATTATCTACCCCTCCTTGGAAGGAAGTTTGGGCAATCTAATTCTGTAGTGACACTGCCTCAGAAACCCAAGGAGGGGTCGTTATGAGTCAGGTCTGACTCGATGGCACCTAACAACAACAACAACAACATCCCTCCTCAAAGTCCTTTAACTTTAAAGTTCTTACCATTCCCTCCACCTCCATCACTCTCCAAGTCCCAACCTTCTGATATGTTCCTCATCTTCCCCTTCTCCTTCTACACACATGAAATAGAAAATTGATGGAAAGATCAGTCAAAAAGCTGGCTGGGCTGACCTCTTTTATCTTCCTACCTTTGGGGAGATTTGGCCAATCAAAGAGCCCTTCCACCCTGCTGTCTGTGCCATCGGAACACCTGGAGGACAGCAGCACACTGGGGTCTGGGGTTGGGGTTGGGGGCTGATCTCCTGAACACACTTTTTGATAAGGACTGTCCATCTTTTGTGAAGTACTATGCAGTATTGAAGGAGCTCTGGTAGCATAGTGCCTAAGGCACTTGACTGCTAACCAGAGGCTGGTTGTTCAAAGCCACCAGCCACTCCTTGGAAGGAAGGTTGGGCAATGTATCTCCGTAGTGATACCACCTCAGAAACCCAAGGAGGGGTCACTATGAGTTGAGTCAGACTCGATGGCACTTAACAACAACATTAAAAACTTGTCTATAACTAGTTCTTCTGTGGAAGACCTCTTTATCTGTCCCCTTCAAGCAGATCACTGATGGGAACAAGTGTTCTCGGAGCCTTAGAGCTGAATGCCCACTGCACTCCCTCTTCCTCCCTGCAGGTTCTTAGAATGTTAGTAGTAAAGTTGGCCTTAAATGTCCCAGTATCTGACCCCATTGCCTTTCAGGCAGGCATCCTCTTCACTTTTTCCTAGGACACCTCCGTTGGTCTCTGGGTCATTGATGGCCCCATAGAGGAGACAGGGTCGTTTTGAGGTCCAGGAATGCCTGCTGGCTCTTACTTGCTCAAGTTTCCATTGGGAGACTCTTGGGGCTGGGTCCTGAGATCCTAGTATTCAAGATCAAGAGCTTTATTATTTGAAGTGGAATGGGGATGAGGACTAATTTAACTGAACTTCTGTGCATTCTGCCTGTCCCACACACCCACCCACATTGAACAAAGACAAACAAAACAAAAAACAGGGGAACAAATCTTCCTTTTCTGTTACCAAGAGATCTTCTATATGAAGCAAAAACTTCCTTCCCTCCTATGTCTGGCCTTTGATAATCTGTGGCCCCAAATGGTTACAGAACTCAAGGAAGGTTCTCAAGTCCACACTGGTTTATTTGAAATCCATGTTTAGGTCCCAGCATGTGGCAATGTGCTCCACTCTGATGACACTTTTCCTTTCTAATAATAGAGCAGATGAAGTAATATTGCAATTGATGTTCCCGGGCATTTGATTGGATAAGTACATAAACTGTGGGGGGTAGGGGGGCTGTGTGGACGGATCACATTAGTATTTCTGGTCCTATCAAAGTGCTGGGCTAAGAACAACGTCAGTCGGACCGATTCTCTGCGTCTGCCAGTCCCGCCACGGATTCATTTGGGATCCTCAAACAGATGAGCCCGTGGAGACGCGGGATCAAGGCAGCGGATTAGAGCCAATTGCTTGCTTCAGAGACGGCCAGCCTTCCAGGCCTGGCGACGCGGGAGGGAGGGGAAAGACAAACCGAGCGCCGCTGCGGAAAGACACTTAAAGCAAGAGCGACACCCTTCCACCTCGCACCTTACAGCGCAGGCTTTGGAAGCTGCTGCCCCATCTGAATGGAAACTCGGAGCCGCCGGGCGGCGCGTTCCTTCTCGCCCAGCCTTGCAATCCATGCCGAGGGGAAGGCGCGAGCCCGCGCCAGCGCCCAGAGCCCCGGACAGGGCCGGCAATGCTGCTGAGCAGAACTTGACCGAGCCCCGTCCTCTCTGCTAGTGGGAGCGATGCTGCACCGCACAGCCAACTCTTCCCCCGCTCTCCTTCAGGCTGAAGGTTACCCACCCGCTCAGCCAGCCCCAACCCTTTGAGCCGCGCGTCTCGGGTCCCGGCTCCGGCTGCTAGGCGGCGGCGCGCAGGGCAACGACCGGGCCGCCCGCGCCGGGGCGCACTGCATCAGCGGCTTCGGCTTAGTGGATGTGTATGCATGAGTTCTGCACCGAATGGGCGCAAAAAGCGCCCCAGCCGGTCCACCCGCTCCTCGATCTTCCAGATCAGCAAGCCCCCGCTGCAGAGCGGGGATTGGGAGCGCAGGGGCAGCGGCTCCGAGAGCGCCCACAAAACCCAGCGAGCCCTGGACGACTGCAAGATGGTGGGTGAAAGCTGCGCCTCTTTTTTTTTTTTTTGGAAGAGGGGGTGGGAGAGTCATGTATGTTAATCGTTTCTTGAGTGCCAGCCACTCCTCCACCCTAGGCTCCTCTGTGCCGATCACGTGCACATGCACTATTTTTAAATCTGTAGTCCTCTAAATTCAGGGTGACACCTAGGTCGTAATGGCCCCGCGGAGGGAAGTGCCACGGCAAGGGTCTTGGGGATCAGCGGCTGTAGGTCGTGTTTCTTCCTTCTCCGAGAATGGTGCATGCAAAGAACCCAGTGAACTGGCTCGCTCACTCGAGAAGGAGGGGGTGGGGGTGCTGCCTTTGTGGGGAGACAGTAGCAAACAAACCCAAACAGAGCTCACGGGGCGCTGCGGTGAGGACGAAGGTTCCGGCTCAGAGGCTGTGGTGGGTCTTTCCTTCAGTCGCCTAAGTCAAAGCGCTTTAGTGGCCCAGCAGGAGGTGAATGGCTTGTTTATTGTATCCTCCTTTTGGATTTTATCCCCACGCAACTTCAAATACATATACAACCTCCTAACAGTAGTTGAGGGGAACGTCTACGCGGGAGTCCCCAGAATCTTTCTCTGGAGATCTGGGAGTGGCATGCTGGCTCTCCAAATATGCCCTTGTTCTTTAGAAGCAGTCTGAACCGATGGGAGAAGTAGGTCTGGAAAAAGAGCTTCCATAAGCAGACTTCCTGTGATGAAAATCAACACTTGCATGGACAAGAGAACTTGCCATCTTGTGCCTTGGGCTTTAAAAATTTGTGGGCTCCTTAGCCAGAGATCTGGGGAGATCAATTCAGGAGTTAGTGAAGGCCCATGTTTAGGCACACTGAGGTAGGAAACTTTCTGATAACAAGTGTTTAGTGAAAGAAAATTTCTTTCTTTCTTTTCCAGCTTGTCCAAGAGTTCAACACGCAAGTGGCCCTGTACCGAGAGTTGGTCATTTCTATCGGGGATGTCTCAGTCAGCTGCCCCTCACTTCGTGCAGAAATGCACAAGACAAGAACTAAAGGCTGTGAAATGGCCCGTCAGGCACACCAAAAACTTGCAGCCATCTCAGGGTAGGAGACTCTTTGCATTATTTGCTAATTTATGTATATAATACATGATGTTGGCAGATCTTTATGGTGGGGAAAGCCTCAGGGTGCGTTTCTACCAATAGAGGTTATGAAAACCTCACTGCTCATCCTGAGATTAAGGTTCTGTGAAGCGCTGAAAACAAATTATATGCCAAACCATAATCCAAAGACCCTGTGATTTTTGCATGTATTTTGAAGATTTTAGTGACTTTTTAAACACTGAAATTTTGGGAGGCTTACCATTCCTTGCTGAAACTAAAGTTAAACCACCATTCCTCAAGATGATTTTGTCATATGCTACTGAGCAAAAGGCCTGTGCAGTAGAGAATGAAATCTTTGCTAAATCTCAGATTTAGTAAACTGTTTATGCCATCAGATAAACTTCTATAATACTGCTTAAAATAAAATCCTTAAATTCTTGGCCATAAATATTGTCTTCAGTGGTGTAGTGACATGAAAAGTAAGTTTAAATATTAAAAAAGTATTATTAAAGACTGGAGAAATTCACAAATCAAAGTAAACCTAAGCTATTGATGTACCCCAAATTATTTTTGTTTTTATCATATTTATGGATTTAGGTGATAACATAGTGAGTAAGTGAGTAGAAACTTGTCTTCTGGGACCCCATTCATTTCTTCTCAGTCTCTCAATCTCTGGAGAAAAGTTAGCCATTAATTTTGTTAACAGTTCCTATTTTCAAGATAAGTACTTGCAGCAAGGAAACACAGAAATCCTAACATTAGAAGATCCTGGATAGAGTGAGGGTAAAATGTGGGAAAAAAACTCAAAATCATAAAAAAAAAAAAAAAAAA